CAGCGATCATCGTCGAGGGCCCTCTTCGAGAGGTTTCTTTCTCTCTTTCGCTCATTGCTTCTTCGTGAGTACCGTTCTCGAGGTGCCTTTTGTCCTCCTCGTTGTCGAGCCATTGTCGCGGACGCCCCTGAGCGAGTTTCAACAGCAGTGTGCTCCGTACCGTGCTTTGCCGTGTCGTATGTTACTGACTATCGTGAGTTTTTGACACCGCTCCTGCAGTGCTTCATCACCGAGTGCTGTATGTGCATCGCGCCGGGCCTTCACCGCTTTACGTTCACCAGCGGCTTCAAGGAGCGTTGATCATGGTCCACATGCTTGGCGAAGTCTGTAGTCTGCAACGAGAAAACCAACGGTCCGGTGCCTTCGACAGACTTTCTTCCCTTGCGAGCACCGAGGCACTTGGCTAACCGGAACTGACGTGAGCACCAGCTGTGACGGAAGTTGGAGAGTAAGTTGTGCTGGTGAGTTCACGAACACAATGTGTTGATTCAAAAAGAACCATGTGCCTAGATTGCTGAAAGTGTGGGCATGGCAGCCATCTGCACGTATACTGCCAGGAAGAAAGGGACTGAAATTGAAATCGTCTGTTGCCAGTGAACTGTGCTTAGAGTACGCAGAGCGGTAAAGAGACCCCAAGGCAGCCAGATAATTAGCTCAGAAAACAAGGGAACATGCTCATTCAAGTTGTGTCCCTCACAGTGCTCAGCAAACGCATTGAACATACGACCTTAGGACAGATCAGAGCAAAGAAGGTTAAAGAAGAGAAACCAAACAAATTGATGTCAAACGCATTTGCAGTGGTTAATCCACCCCACTCTGTGAACATACGACCTTAGGACAGATCAGAGCAAAGAAGGTTAAAGAAGAGAAACCAAACCAATTGATGTCAAACGCATTTGCAGTGGTTAATCCATCCCACTCTCATACAGACTACAACGCATGTAAGACACTATACTCTCTATGCTGATTGGAAATTTTTTTAATGAGCAGCTGCCGCTCTCCATCATCCAATTTAGCGAAGCTGAACTCTCTTTAATACGGATAAATTTTATTACATTATTAGACGAGGCAATGGGGACCCTCGTGTCTCGGCTGGCATTCAGCGGCACTTCCTCACTGCAAAAGTACACAACGTCAGCGCAGTTGCTGAGCTCGTATAATTTTCAGGCGATTTCTGGTGTAAGTGTGCACACAGTGCGACTGTCTGTACCAAGCTGCATGTTGCACTGCCCTATTTCGGAGGAGTGCAGTCCCGTAAGCGAGCTTTTCCACGCACTAAACTTGCCCTAACCAAAATATCCGCATTTCACCGCGCTGGGACACGTGATTTGTACGGTATATAGCTAAAGGAGGCAGGCAAAGATGATGTAACAAGTCGGCGTGTTGACGCCTTATGAATATGATGATCCCATCACTGGTTACTTCTTTGTGGTTAGGCGAAACTCACGCGCGCGGAGAAGCCCGCTTGCAGGCTCTCCATATCGGCAAGTGCTCTGCATAGTCACTGCAGAAAGCGATCCCGGTGCGAGGCACGTGCATGAAGTCGGCCCTGTTCTCTCAGGACGGGGGCGCCATGGCGTCGCTAAACCGAGCAGGTCGCGATAAGATCAAAACAATGGGACCGTGGCCGAGGGGGTACACGGAGACTGACACACAATGCAGCACCGCGAAGACGCCGAGGGGGGAAAGGGGGCTTGTTCAGGCGTGCGGGGAAGATTGACAGAACGGGGACTTGATTCAAACTAGTAAATCAAATAATTGATTCATCAAATGATTGATCGGCCAATCATGCCCCTTTATCGGAAGCCTACTAGAGTCAGCCACGCCTCCGCCATACATACACAGGCATACACAGGCAGATGATTGAGCTATCCTTTAGAAACCAGGAAATTGGTGTTATCTATTGTCATGTACAGTACTCACGAATCAAATCACACAATTTTCTGGCAACGTAATATACGCACTTTTCTTCCCAGCGTCTATACATTTCGCTTAGTTTACATCGTCATTGAGGCATTACAAGGAGGGGGTGGAGGTAGTGTCATATCGGCGTATCTTTTACTGGCGTTTACATGAGAACCAATGTTGCGTTTATCAGCCAGATTTGGAGCTACGGGATGCGGTTACCATGAGCTTATAGCAGTCAACACGTATAAAAAAAAGTTGCGTTTCATCAGTGAGTACTGTACGCAAAGCTTCCCCTCTCGTATACCTCTCAAGGCATGATGTAGTCACCGCAAAGTATTTTATTTAGTTAGTTCCAAGTAGATTTTATATCTTGCAATCGCTACAGGTATACAAGCAAGCTAGTGGAAAGAAGTTTTTTTTTTTCTATTGAAATAGAAAATAAACGAAGGAATTGTTGTCACCGTTACTTGGTGACGGCTACCCCTTTCCACTTGATTGCTAGAAATAAGGAGTAGAAAAAAAAACAAAATAGCATATAATATACACCTATATATGTTCCTACATAGGCGAGTGCAAAAATCCTCACATGGGCAGAACAAACACGTTGCCGCCACGCTCACTTTTAACTACAGTCAGCTCAGTAATGGTAAAAAATATTTGATTTTTCGAAAACGCGCAGCGAAAACGCGTTCATTGCTTTGCAATTTATTTTATAGATGTCCATGGGCCCAGTATTTTATCGAACGCAAATGGCCGCTCGGGATCTAGCGTATGAAGTTCCTGTTCGAGTCGCCTTCGGTGTGCGTCGTGTTTCGGACAGTCGAGCAAGAGGTGATAGATATCCTCGTCGTCGTGGCCGCATGAAGATGCTTACGATGTTGCACGCTGAATACGAAGTAGGAGGTGCTTTGTGTAAGCAGTTCCGGGTCGTAGGCGACGTATGAGAGTGTCGATGCACCTTGGGAGATGATGGTCTAATTGGCATTCAAGATTAGGATCAACAGCATTATAGGATCGATTACTTTGTTTTGTCTGTGAACCATGTAGACAAGCATAATTCACGTTTCGTTGTTATGCATGATATTGACACCCAGGAATGAGGCGGGTTTGCATAGAATGATGAGCAGTTTTCTCCAACTCATCTGCCAATTCATTTCCCTTGATTCCGCAGTGACTGGGAACCCACTGAAATGCCACTCGATGATTCGACTTCGTAGCTTCTGAAAGCTCTTTTAAGAGAAGTGGTTATGAGGGAAAAGAAGAGAAATGTGAGTCCCGTAACTGTCTGCATCAGGGTGCGACACCTCAACAGTAGCTCACAAGAGATGGGGTGAGGAGGGATTAAAAGGATAGGATTAAAAGCACACAGAGAGACAGACAGAGAGAGAGAGAGAGAGAGAGAGAGAGAGATGCGCTGGGACAGCAAGCGAGGGCATGTGAGGGGGTAGGAGAAATAGGAAAGATGGAAACACGGTCACAGCAGTCCGAGGATGGGGCGCCACTTGCGAGAGCTCTTGTCGGTGTCAGGAGATGACGTAGGGCCAGCCCAGTCGGCCAGAGCTACGCTGTTGTCGGAGATCGCGAGGGCACAACCGGTCGGCACGGAATACAGCTCCTTTAATACAGCGTGTAGTATATGCACATCAATGTGTCTTGAAGTGGCATTTTCCACGAGTGCCGCCAGAGAAGTGTTGCTCCTGGCTAGCCAGAACGTTATGAATTCTTCTGCGTGCAAGTGTAGGAGCGTGCTTGTGCGTGCGTGTGCGTGCGTGTGCGTGTGTGTGTGCGTGTGTGTGTGTGTGTGTGTTTATAGTTTGACCCGACTGTAGAGCATGAAGGCCTATTCGAGCAAAATTTTCATTTGCCTGCAAGGAAAGGAGGAATTATGCTGAAGTGACCACAACAATAACAAGCGTTCCCCCCCCCCCCCCCCCGTGATTTAGAATACTGCACACGCCTATGACCACGGCCTTTTCACCAATTCAGTGTCAAAAACTGCTCTAAGGGCTGTTCTGGACTTTATCAAAAGTGCTGTACTGGATAATAAGCTCTAGGGACTATGCTAAGTGACTACTGTATATATACGCACCACCTGTCCCCATCATCACCCTTACCTTTTGTGTAGAGTAGCAGGCTAGAGCACACTTGCTGAAGCCGACCTCTCTGTATTTTAAAAAATTATCACGCTCTCTCTCTCTCTCCCTCTCTCATGTGACTAGTTTGGTACAGAAACGCAAACTTAGTCGCATGGTTAGAGAACTATAACGATGTTTTTCTTTCATAATGACAGTGCGCACTTGGAATGACTATTCATGAGACCCACTCGTCCTAGATGTGAGTTTGATAAATAGCGATAGAGTACATTTTCAAGACAGCACATCTGGATGTTCTTGCTACACATATCGTTCAGAATTGCCCAAACATGGCTATTTTATTAGTGATCTTCTATGTCTTTCTTTGTTTCAGATTTCAATGTCAGTCAGCTGTTTTTGGAAGTGTGTCAGAACTACGAGCGGGCTGCAGGAATGCATCGAAAGCTACGACATCCTACGAAGGGTAGCTGTTTAGACGAAGTCGAAAGCCACAAGAATTCGCTAGGAAGCCACAAAGGACGTCTTCTGTCGAGAACTTCGTGCATTTACGGACCCTGTGGTTTGACGAGAAAAACATCGCGTGTAGTTCCCGCCGTCAACACTGTTCCTTCTTGTTTTCACAAGGTGATTACGTCAGACAAATTTGTTGACTGAACTACGTGAGATCGTGTCCATCAGCGTGGCGACGAAGACGTCATGCTTCGACAGTTCTGAAACTTCTGCAAGCCTACTACGCTAAATCTACCTGGATAAAGCTGCCAAGATCATCGAGTCACTGCTCTTCAGCACGACGAACGAAGCCGGTCGTACCACCGGCCAACCAATTCCAGCGGAGCGCATTCGAAAGTCCACCTTAGGGAGCAACAGCTGACACCATTAAGCTGGCAAAGAAAGCTGCCACAAAGGTCCTGGAAGCACCCGGGGCCTCCCGTGAAGCGCATCACCACTGGACGTGGCACACCGAGAGTCACACGGGCGAGAAAATTTACGCGTCGGGTGCAAGAGGGGCCGAGAGAGGCTGCGTCGGGTCCGGCCGGTCGGTCGCGTAGCTGTCCCGTCGGCGGCGCCTTTGGTAGCCGAAAGGTAGAAGGATCCCCCCACACCCGTTCGCCGGAGAGGAGGCGCCTGGCGACTCCGCCCTCCGGACGTCCAGCAGCAGGCCGCGAGAGAGGGTGTCCTCCCCGCGGCGGCGCGCCGAACGAGCACTAGCCATGCCGCCGGCCTACGCGCGGAGCGGCCAGCGCCGTCGCAGTTAGCCCCGCCGAGAGACCCATGGATTACGCGGTGCGCTGGTTCGCCGCTGCCGTGCTCTTCCTCGCCTTGCTCCTGCGCACGGCAACGTGAGTACCATCATCTGCGTTTGTTCGCTTTCTGGGACGTTGTTTCGGTCTGACCAGGTGTGATGGTGGGTGTCAACGGTATTCTTTCCCGTTAGAACCGGTACACTTTGAGCGCCACCAAGAGGGGTCATTTGGTTTGCAGGACTGTGTGGAAGAATATGGCATCCAGCTCTGTATTTTACAACTGCGCATTAAAGAATTTATTTATTTATTATTTGGTTGTTAATTAATTTATTTATTTATCTATCATCTTTTCACATCCACCGTTTCCCACGACAGATCTGCCTCAGACGAGCTTCGTGTTCGATATCGAAGGACGGCCGAATGTACGGCGCAACTTTTGATAACTCCGCAATGCGCGAGCCCCCTTCGCCGGAAAGGCGCGTTGAAATTAAGGCAACGAGTGAAGCGAATGAAGAAGCGTCCTAGACGGTCACCGCTTCTCAGAGAACAAGCTGTTATAATTAACCGCTCGTAACAAGAGGGCAAAAAAAAACAACAAAACGTATGCTTCTTTTGGTTACGCTTTAATCGGTGGACATTGAACCTCATGGTTCCTGCTACAAAGAGCTGCGATATTTTCATTACGCCGGTTTTACCGGCAGTCCCGCGATGTCATCGTGTATTAGAAGCGTGACCAACTGTCAGCGACATCATTTCTAAAAAGGGTTCCTTGCTCTGTCAGCTGATTGACTAACTGTAGCAAATAAAAAAAAGTGCCATTGTCTGCCGTCTCGCAGATAGCGAGACGGTTACCTCAAAAAGAACCTCGCTGCAGTTGCTGGAATCTCGTTCTCTTCCGCAGCCTGTCTCCGGTAGCGAATAATGGACAAATAAAGCAATAACGAGGTTATGCGCGCGTTGGCCGAAACTGCAGCGGGTCAAAGCACCCGTCCGGGAAAGACGCGGTGCCTTTGAAACAGAGGCGATTTCTGCCTAACGGGAGAGATGAAATACTGCTCCCCGAGACGGATAAGGCCGTAAACGTCAGGTTTCAGCCCTTTCGTGGGAGAATGGCCTTCCGTCTCGCGCCCCTTGTTGGCGGCTCTCCGCGTGCTTCCTTACATTTTCGCGTCCAAACATCTCGTCCGCGAAGGAATTCCGGGAGCCATTGTGCCGGCAAAAGTGTACAGGGGTTAATACACGGATCGTCCACCCTCTCCTCTCGCTTCCCTCTTCACGTTCTTCCGACGCGCGCGATCTCGGCATAATGTGGCCAGTCGTGTGGTGCACGGTCTACCACGTAGGAGCGGCTGCGATCGAAGTTCTTCAGAATGACAATTTTCAGCCGTTGAATTTGCGGAATTTCACTTAACCGGCTTCAGTTCGTGATGCGCGCATCAAGTCGTCAGTTGCAATAAACACTAACACATCGCTTTTTTTTGTTGATAGAGTAGGTGATTTTGTATGCACTGTGCACCTTCCGGGTGCGCACAATATAAGCACCAATTAAATATACGATGCCTCGCACACACGCTTATTGATGCGAGGTGCGCACACTTTTTCCACGCATTCAAACGAACCAATATTTTCATTTAGGGAAGCACTCTAGCAATTATATATCTGAACGGAGATTTTAAAACTATAGCGTTCTTACTTTCGGCTATCAACATGTCATATAGATGCACTTCACCATATCCTTTATATGACGAGTTTAAACTCTCACAACTTGAACACGCGATATATCTACACGCGGAAAGAAATGATGGTCTCATTCAAGTGAAAGCTTAGACGTCACTCAAAGTCACCTTCAATCGTGCTTGCATTAGCCGTGTACGCAGGACAATACGTTATTTCCATGCCGCCAATAACTGGGCATGCGAGTCGCGTTCATCAAATCGTGCGCACTAATAATGAACTCTATAACATAGATCGTATAACCACGGCGCTTGCGCTGTGGCCACAAATCTTTGTCACGCGTCTCGCCTATAAACTGCACGCATCCTCGTATGCACGCGCTGCCACCCATGTACTGTTCACACACGCGGCATTTCCTCGAAGCGCAAAAACTTCGCCTTGCGAAACGCGCGCGGAAAGCGTCAATGTTTTGCCGACCGGGTGGTGGCGTTGGCCAACGTCTCCTCGGCTTCGCAATGCGTGCCATTGACCCGCGATCGGGAGACGGCGAGGAAACCGAACGAAGACAAGAAACGAGGAAATATATCAATCCTTGCTGGTCCTCTGACGTTCGCCTCATTTGCACATTGTTGTTTAGCGTGGCAAGATGCGCGTGTGGCCCGCTCGTTATGCGGCTTTGCTTCCACATGACTCTCGCTCGCCTGTTTTTATTTTACTTTTTTTTGTTCACCTTCAGCGTCTCATCTGGTCTCATGAGAACTGTGTGGTATGGTGGAAGCGGCGCAATAGTCTGTGGCGCTTTTGTATCTAGATAAGTATTTCTTGTACGTTCAACTTTTCATAATTGATGAGTGGGGTTCAACGTCCCGAAACCACCATATGATTATGGCAGACACCAAAGTGGAGGGCTCCAGAAATTTCGACCACCTGGGGTTCTTTAACGTGCTCCCAAATCTGAGCACACGGGCCTGCATGTTCAAGTGCCTATTATGTTATACCTACCCTGGTGAGTTTGAAAGACCTCTGATCACAGTTAGTGCACACTTCGCAATGAAAAGGTATACATCCTGCTTTGGTCGTTTAACTTAACCAATTAGTATTTTTTGTACAATGCACCGATTCGCAAAAGCGAATGTGGTAAATGTCACAGTATTTCCAGCTTCATTGAAATAAGTAATAATTGCGTGATTCGTACAACACGTGAAGGGGTAGGAATGTATTCTCTTATGACTTGTGTTTCCTTAAAAGATTTGTTTACACCAGTGATGCGGCATATTTGTTGAGATGCTATTGGTTTTCAAATGATGTTTTTATTCTTAAGCTACACGAAATCACTCTTCGCGAGTGCCGTTGTGCAACACGCTCGGCATTGTGCACGCGATGTATCTTGGTTATCTGTATATGTCTTCTCTTATCACGCGCAATCACTCACAAGTGCCTCAACCTCGTGTCTCAACAAACGAAAACCAGAAATGCTTTTTTTTTTACGTTGTGATTTTGTTTTTAGTCCTTGTTCCTTACAGTATTTAACCATGCATCTGTCATTCGCAGACTAAAACGTTCCGAGAACTTGACAACAGGCGCCTAATTTTTTTTTAAAGTTCATTCGATTCCGTGTTTCGCGTTGCTTTTCTGTCATGGGTATAATTATGATGACATTTTTCATGTGCAGCATTTCTGTGTCATCGGTCAACCATCGATTTGCTCGACCTTACTCTACGTATTTACGCAGTCCAGTTCTGCGTAACATTGTGACCGCAATAACTGCTCTTCGCCTCTCTTTTTGCTTCTCTCTGTTACTCCGCCCGGCACTGTTTATTTTTCATTGCATGTCAAGTGCTTCGTAGCGCTATCGTAACTGTGGCCCCGGCTAAAGACATCATCACAAAAAGAATATGTATAGTTGTGTAGTGTTGCGCCGGCTCCATTGTCGATTTCGCCGCCATCACTTGAAAACTGAGCTCGTGCACGAGGGGCGAACGCACGCATGCAGTGCCCGGTGTTGTGTTACGCCGACACGTATGCCACCACTGACACCGCTTCGACGCTCGAGACCTTGGCCGTGTTTATTGCTCCTCTATGTCTGGCTACCTGTGATATATAGAATTGAAAAACGAAACGTAACATACTACCGCTGAAGTTTTCTCTGTGCGTGTTTGTGACACGAAGAAAGCGAAGGAATAAGAGAAAGCTTAGAGACGTTTTACGGAAGTTATTTGGGCATGCTTTTGCACAGCTAGGTGAGATGGTAAACAGTGAAAGGAAGTCATACAAAAAAATTCACATGCTCGATCCCTCATACACACACGAATGATGTCAAAATAAACTATAATACTGAAGTCATTCGCACTCCCATTAAGTCTTGTGATTCACAAGAGTAGCGTGACGAGTAATTTATTTGGTCTCAATTCTTATTCCTGATGTTGCCGCAGTCCTAGATCATCTCGCATGCACACAATTCTGACACATCGCAAAAGGGACATCTTACGTTTTTTGTTGTTGTTGTTATTGTTGTTATGCAGTGTTGACGCTTCCGAGTTTCCACACACCGGAGCCAGACAACGTGTAGGGAGTATTTCACTTTGATTTTAAAGCTTTTCATTTTTTTTCGCTCAGCAAGCCAGCCCCACTGCGACGAAGATTATCCAGACGGGTTAGCACAGTCACTGCATGCAACCGAAATCGCAGAAGACACCCATCATTGTTTAGGTGCACCACGAGCAGATCTGCCGCGTCGCGAGTTGCTCTCTCCCAATGACGTCACAATGTGATGGTACATCACTGATATGGAAACCGAAAGTGATTTCCTAAGGTATGCCGGTACATACTCGATGCATTCCCAGGCACCACAATACTTCTTTCGGGATCCTCGACACTGCTCTATTTGAAGCAACAATCGGAAAACGTTTAAAATTCATGTCAGTACTCCATTAAGCTGTGTGTCGCGCAGGGCTGTTAAACAACGCATTTGGGAATAAAGGCGAAAAACAAGAAAGGAGGGAGTTTGTCTGTTGGCTATATACCTTCAGCTTGGGGAATAGGAAAGGGAAGCAGAAAGATAGAAGTGGAAAGAGAAGGAAATGGTTAGCAAATGCGCTAACGCGGTGGCGCTATTCAAAATTCTCAGGCTTTCACTATAGATCCTAAGTCAAACCATTTAAGACATGATTATAGTAAAGAGCTCGATGTTGCAAATCATACAAAACAAACTTTATTTACGTCAAAATAGAGATATATACAAGCAAACAAACACGGATGTATTCGTTGGCTTGCGCATTTCTAAAGCATATATAGTTAACGTATTTCAGTTGAACTTAGCGAGAAGGGAAGAGAGGGAGAGATGGCATCTTGTATCGACGCAAATCTTGTTGGATTCTCACGACAGCATGAGGCGAACTTCGCGAACACTAGGCTGATATACA